AATTTAAACAATGCAGGCAGGCGTCCTCAATGCTGATGCACGGAAGACGGCGTCATACAACACAGCACCGGCAAATCCTCGACGACTCACTAGTCTGCATCACCTTCCAGGTCAGTCACCAACTTGTTGGCGTGATTAGCCTGGCACGTGCCATTTGTGGATCTCTGATCCTCTGCACACCCTCTGAGCTCCGTCAAAGGTCCTGACACCGGGCTCAGGGTGACACCCTGAGGTCACTAACGTCTGCTGGCCGTAAAATATAATCGTGCCCAACACGCGCCATCCTGCACGGCTCTGCAGTGTGACGTCACGCAGCTGGGCCAGTCGGCCGCGCAGTAGTGGCTCCAGCGGCATCACTCTGGGAGCCGACAGGTTACGCCGGCCGCTGACCCCGCTCTCGTCTCCTGACATCCGACCCCGCGATGGGCTCACCCTATTACCCAGGGTCATGACAGGGTGGGTGGCAGTCCAGCTCGCCGTATCCCCCTGTCAACCCCAGCGTCGTATTCCTGGTGACGCCGCTGCCGCTGCCGGCGGACGGGCCACCAATTCGTATAAAGGCGGGGCGCGGCGGCCGCCTGCCAAGCATCCTTCACACCGGCACACCGCACGTCTGCATTGACCGTTCCAGCCGAACACAGTCGAGCACAATGCTGAAGCTGATCGCCACCATCGCCCTGGTGAGTGGACAATCTACGGCAGGGGCAGCGAGACCGTGTGATGTTAGAGCCAAATCACGGAGCGTTGCCGTCATAGCGGCACCTGATGTTCGCTTACGCAGGCTGTTAAGTGTTGCCAGACGTGTCTCGCTGACGACCTTCCTGACCACGTGAGACTGTGTACTGATGACGGCGAGGACAGCCAGACCGTCACTCTCCTCACGCGCTTTCTCCACCCGCAGACGGGCGCGCTGGGCGCCGCTATGCCCATGGGCCTCAACGGCGACGAGGTGCAGCAGGCGTTCCAGGGCATGCTGGACCAGTCGGACGCCGACGGCGACGGTCGCCTCTCGTCGGCCGAGCTTGAGCCCATCATACGGGCCGGCGGGCCGCACCTCAGCGCCGCCGACGTGAGGCACACCATCTCGCTCATGGACGGCGACGGCGACGGCTTCGTCAACCTGGCCGACTTTCGGCAGGCCGCCAACGAGCCGCCGCCGGCCGAGGTCGTGCCCATCGCCTTCCGCGCCGAAGACACAGACGGCAACGGCCAGCTGACGCAGCAGCAGGCCCTGGAGGTGGCGCCGTCGCTGCTCAGTGGACACCGGCAGCTCGAGCACGTGCGCTACGTGCTGGAGGACGCCGACACCGACGGCGACGGCATGCTGGAGCAGGACGAGTTCACGTTCGCCGTCGTCGCACTCCAGAAAGAGGTGTGAAGACGCTGTAAGGCCGGCTGGACGGAGGCGACTGTGAGGCAGGTCACCCTATGCCGACGGGGGCGCCCGCTAACGATGTGAGGTGCGTGATGTTAGCGCCATAGGCCTTGAAGCCCCCATTGTAAACCGATGTGTCATGCTCATGCTTCATCTGTGCCAACATCATATTTTGCCAATAAAACCACGCGAACCGCTCTAATGCCTGAACAACTTCTCTGCCGCCTCAACCATCGTAAGCTTCACGACCAAGCAAGCAAGCTGACCTCGGGTTTTCTGCGAGACAGACAACAACAACCACGCTAGCTGTCGTAAACCGCTTGAGGCACACCCGAGCTGAAGAATTCAGTACCGTCACTGATCTGTGGCGTTGTAGAGACGTGAGACGCAGCACATCCCGCCCAACGCCGTGGTGGAGCCCGCCCAGGTACGGCGGGCCCTCCCACCCGCTGACGAGCTGACGATGGAGCCTGTGCGAGCAGGCGGGAACACCGGCTACAGTCGCAGCCCGCCGCGGGGAACACGAGACCGTACCGGTCACAGCCGGGCCACACACGGACCACCGGTCAAGGACGGACACACCGGGTGACAAAGTACACCAGCTCAGGTATCCTGCCTTAGCATCGGGGAGTCACGCTCGGCCACCTGACCGGCTAACAGATGAGCCTGTGAAAAGCTGACCAGGCTGTGTCTGTATTCGGGGGCGTCGCATTGTACACTTTCGTGGGGGACCTGAGACCCCAATACTGAAATCAGCCCATCATTGCTCTTCCGAGCCTATCCCCCTCCTCCAAAGCATATGACCCAGAGAATCATTCGGCCGATGAAATGCAGTTCGTATCTGAAATGATGGTACCGTAGGTGCCTACATATATCATTATACATACCATAAAAACATCATATATCATCATTATGCTCCCATCAACGTAAAACGGGACGCCATTCTTTGAAACCACAGCAGTTTTGTAGCCAACTAACTTTTGAAGGCCAATTACAGCATCGGGGACGCAAATAACAGTGGTCAAAATCCGGGATTTTTATGATTTTTCGGTAGGTTAACTCAACTTTAGTGGCTCAGGCCAGCCCGAACCAATCTCAGAAAGTGGCATCGATGTTTGTATTCATGCGTACGAAATCATACGAAATTACGAACACAACTTGCTTTTTGGATAAGGCCTTTCCCGGAGAGAACCACCTATGCGTTGACAGAAGTACGCTAAATTAAATTGCACGTGAACAAATATGGTGGTGATGAGACGTTCCTGCGATTCACGCGCAAGCATTTCAATGGTAAATTATAGTTTCAAACCGCTGAACTCCTGAATGCACCTAATATCACAGCACACAATAACGAACGCTCAACTGAGATGCGTCCACGTCACGGCAACGTGAAAAACATTTTGGTTCAGTGATGTCGTGCCTTGTGGCACTGAAGTAGTCTGTTGTTGTCATGCCCGGTTACATTGTGCTAAGTTAACGAGTGTTAGATCCCAACATATCGCCATTTCCAGCCGGGACCGTGCAGACCCCTGTTGGTGTGTATTCGTCCACGGATTCCCTTGGCCACAGCCCGCCACCGGGATGTCCTCTGGGATTCCCAACAGATGGCGTCCTGAAGCGGCCGCCTCAGGCCGTGACGTCACAGACACAACAGGGTCATGACGTCATAGGTTCGGGACCAGCGGACTGGAGCCGCTTGCATGCTGCGACCTGCAGCTGGGAGCCTGTGACGTGGCCGGCCAGTGGCCTTGTGACGTCACAAGCTCTGGAGTAACACAATGCAGCCTGCTGGAGGAGGTAGTCCAGTCTGATGGAGCGGCTCCAGCTGTCTGTAGTCTACTGTCACACGCAGTGATGACATGGAGAGCTGACGTGATCAACAGTGTGCTGAAATCATGTACTTCGGCAATGTTGCGCTGGCGAATAAAATAATCCAGCACACCATAGGTAAGAAATAATCCCCATTTCCTAGGTTATGGAGTGTTTCATTTCAACCAATGGTGGCTCCGGAAGGAATGTAGTTTGTTAATCCATGTTCCTTCAGTACATTTTGCTGCTGAGCCTAGGGCTACTGACACCTATGTTACCATTACCCCCTGTTCCCCTCAAGGTGGTGATGATGATATGGGCTTTAGGCGGAAAATTTCGAATAATTCATAGAGCATTGGTAAAAACGACAAAATCGGAAGGGATGGACAACTCGAGAAACATGCCTACATCACGCTGAAAGCCAGGACACCTTTGAGAAACGCCAACTTTAACACCAACGTCGAGTTCACCAAACATTGGTCAGAGCAATCGCAGGCATTATTGGTGATTCCAATGTCTTCCTCTGGGAGTCAGAGATGTTAGAAGGGTGACCTCTCAACTGTTATACCCAGGGAGCGCATCAGGAGTACAGCTAGAGTAGGGTAACCCCCCCCCCCCCAAGTATTACGCCCAGGGGGCTGATCAGGCGCGCGTAGATGCATGTGGCTGCCGAGCCTATCACTGTTACGAGGGACCACGCTGTGTGCGCACTCGGCTGGGCAGAGATGCACTGTATGAGAACCAGTTAGGGACAATCCTCAGGCCAGCTCGTACTTAGGGCATCACATGCGCTGGTCCCTATGGCGGCACTGCATGGTTTACGAAGCACAGACAAGTACACTACACCTCTCAAAAACTGAATATGAAAGGACCTGCTCAGCTATATATCCACATACCAGCGATGGCAAATCTTTGCAATTATTGCCCAATTTTTGCATTGCATTGCACTGATTGCAACTACCGCTCAAATAACTGACCATCAATAACAGAAGGAGAATTCCATCGATGTTCATATCGATCAAGTTCCAGCAGTGCAGACAAATCGGGAGTGTAGGGCTCGAGCTATGCGTTACCGTTTGAATTGCGTTTGAAAGCCGAAGATCATCAGGTTAACCTTTCGGTCTATGAGGAATATGATGAAATTGTCTGCCTCCAATAAACTAACTTAAGGCGAAAATATGGGGAACCCAAGGCGGAAATGTGGGGAATCACCTACGGTGAACCATCAGCAATGCAGACAAGCGCTTTCAGCGCCACTGCACGGAAGACGACGTCATACAACGTAACACCGGTAAATCATCGACCGCGTCACTAGTCTGCATCGCCTTCCAGGTCAGTCACCACCTTATTGGCGTGGTGAGCCCGGCACATGCCGTTCATGGATCTGCGATCCTCAGCACACTCTCTGAGCTTGGTCAAAAATCCTGACATCGGGCTCGGGGTCAGACCTTGAGGTCAGCGACGTCCGCTGGCCATAATATACCACCGTCGTCAACACGCGCCATCCTGCACAGCTCTGCAATGTGACGTCACACAGGCGGGCCGGCCGGCCGCGCAGGGGGGCCCAGCGGTTTCGCTCCGGGGGCCGATAGGTCACGCCGGCCGTCGACCCCACACTTATCTCCTGACATCTGACACCGCGGTGAGCTCACGCTATGACACAGGGTCACGGCGGGGCGGGTGAAAGTCCAGCTTGCCGTATCCCGTGTCACCCCCAGCGTAGCATTCCTGGTGACGCTGCTGCCGCTGCCGGCGGACGGGCCACCAATTCGTATAAAGGCGGGGCGCGGCGGCCGTCTGCCAAGCATTCTTCACACCGGCACACCGCGCGTCTGCATTGACCGTTCCAGCCGAACACCGTCGAGCACAATGCTGAAGCTGATCGCTGCCATCGCCCTGGTGAGTGGGCAACCCACGGCGGGGCAGTGATACTGTGTGACGTCAGAGCCAAATTACGGAGCGCTGCCGTCATAACGGCACCTGATGTTCGCTTACGCAGGCCGTTAAGTGTTGCCAGACGTGTCTCGCTGGCGATCTTCCTGACCACGTGAGACTGTGTACTGATGACGGCGAGGACAGCCAGACCGTCACTCTCCTCACGCGCTTTCTCCACCCGCAGACGGGCGCGCTGGGCGCCGCCATGCCCATGGGCCTCAACGGCGACGAGGTGCAACAGGCGTTCCAGGGCATGCTGGACCAGTCGGACGCCGACGGCGACGGTCGCCTCTCGCCGGCCGAGCTCGAGCCCATCATACGGGCCGGCGCGCCGCACCTCAGCGTCGCCGACGTGAGGCACACCATCTCGCTCATGGACGGCGATGGCGACGGCTTCGTCAACCTGGCCGACTTCCGGCAGGCGGCCAACGAGCCGCCGCCGGCCGAGGTCGTGCCCATCGCCTTCCGCGCCGAAGACACAGACGGCAACGGCCAGCTGACGCAGCAGCAGGCCCTGGAGGTGGCGCCGTCGCTGCTCAGTGGACACCGGCAGCTCGAGCACGTGCGCTACGTGCTGGAGGATGCCGACACCGACAGCGACGGCATGCTGGAGCAGGACGAGTTTACGTTCGCCGTCGTCGCACGCCAGAAAGAGGCGTGAAGACGCTGTAAGGCCGGCTGGACGGAGGCGACTGTGATGCCGGTCACCCTATGCCGACGGGACCGCACGCTAACGATGTGAGGTGCGTGATGTTAGCGCCATAGGCCTCGACGCCGCTACTGTCAACCGATGTGTCATACGCATGCTTCATCCGTGCCAACATCATATTTTGCCAATAAAACCACGCGAACCGCTCTAATGCCTGAACAACTTCTCTGCCGCCTCAACCATCGTAAGCTTCACGACCAACAAGCAACTGACCTCGGGTTTTCTGCGAGACAGACAAAAACAACCACGCTAGCTGTCGTACATCACTGGAGGCACACCCGAGCTGAAGAATTCAGTACCGTCACTAATCTGTGGCATTGTAGAGGCGTGAGACGCGGCACATCCCGCCCAACGCCGTGGTGGAGCCAGCCCAGATACGGCGAGCCCTCCCACCCGCTGACGATGACGCCTGTACGCACCGGCGGAGACACCGGCTTCAGTCGCAGCCCGCCGCGAGGAACACGAGACCGTACCGGGCAACACACGGACCACCGGTCAAGGACGGACACACCTGGTGACAAAGTAGACCAGCTCAGATACCCTGCCCTAGCACCGGGGAGTCGCGCCCGGCCACCTGACCGGCTAACAGATGAGCCTGCCACCTGCGAAAAGCTGACCAGGCTGTGTCTGTATTTAGGGGTGTCACATTGTATACTTTCGTGGGGGACGTGGGCCTCCCCCGATGCTGAATTTAGCCTCCTCAATGGGCTTTTAGCCCCCCCCCCCCCCTGCTGAATTTAGTCCTTTAACGCTCTTCTGGGTCCCATCCCAGCCTCAATGCATATGAGTACAAAGAAGAATCCTACGGAAATAAAATGCAGCAAGTGTCCAACCTGCTGCTATCCTTAAAACCTAAATGCATCACTCGTCACAGGCATCATTATCATCATATATTTTTATCATTATCACATCGACTGAAAACGGGATGTCATTCTTTGACGTCACAACAGTTTCGAAACCAACAAACTTTGTAATGTCAAGTCTAGCATCGCGAACGCAAATACAAGTGGTCGAAATTCGGCATACATCAGGATTTGTGAGTAGGCTAAATCAACTCTATAGGCTCAGCCCACCGCCACAAATTCTCGAAATTAACAATTCTGTCTGCATCAATACTTATGGAATAACGCACAATTACAAACATAACTCGCTTCTTCAATTTAACCTTTCCCGGAGGGTACCACCTATGCGTTGACGGGGGTCCGCTAAACTAAACTGCACGTGAACAAATATGACGGTGCTGAGTCGCACCCGCCATTCATGTATAAGCGTTTGACCAGCAAAGCATAGCTTCAAACTGCTGAACTGCTGAATGCACCCAACATCACAGCATATAATAACGAACGCTCAACTGGGATGCGTAAACATCACGGGTAGCGTGAAGTAAAAAAACATGGGTTCAGTGATGTCGTGCCTTGTGACACTAAGGTAGTCTGTTGTCATGCCCGGTTAGACTGTGTTAGCTTAGCGAGTGTCAGGTCCGAACACATAGCCATTTCCTGCACGGACCGCGCAGACCCCTGTTGGTATGTATCCGTCCACGGGGTTGCCCGGGCGGTCGCCGCCGCCGGGATGTCCGCTGGGATTCCCAACAGATGGCGTCCTGAAGCGGCCGCCTCTACGCCCTACCCGCTACGGCCTCTCTAGCCGGGAGGTCACAGACACAACGAGGTCATGACGTCACAGGTTTGAGGACCAGCGGACTGGAGCCGCCTACATGCTGCGACCTGCGACTGAGGGGCCTGTGACGTCACCGACCAGTGACCTTGTGACGTCACAAGCTCTGGACAAACACGCCGCAGCCTGCTGGAGGAGATAGCTCTATCGGCCGCCGCAGATTTGTGACGTCACAAACTCTGGAGTAACTAGCTGCAGGCTGCTTGCGAAGGTAGTTCAGCCTGCTGGAGTGGCTTCGCGACGTCTTAAGTGTACTGTCACACGCAGTGGTAACGTATAGAGCTGGTACGACCAACAGTGAAACGAAATCATCGTTATCGGCAATCTTACGTGAGATGTTCAAAGCACTAGCGAGGAGCAATACTCACATAGATAAGACAATAGAATTAGCCTTGTTCCTCCAAAAATCACGAGAATGGAAAGATAGCTATGTTGATATTTCGGCAACATGCCTTCACTGAAGGAATAGCAGAAGCGTTTCAAACAATTCTTCGAGTGGTTCTCCTATTGTTTCGATAAAAGCACATTACCGAAATGTCAATCTAACCATGTCTCCATTCTCCTGCTTTTTCACGAGGAATAATGCTAATACTACTGATTATCTTTGTTCTCGGCAACTTTGCACTTCTGAACAAATCACACAACAGCACTGTAGATAACAAACTATTCTTATTTCCCAGATTGCATCGTGTTACATTGGAACCAATGGCGGGTGCGGGACGAATATGTTTTGTTAAACTTTCTTCTTTCAATAAGCTTTGTTGCTGAGCACAGGCCTACTGCGTCTATGTTATTATCACCCCTTCTACCCCTGAATGTGATGATGATGGTGCTATGCGCTTTAGGAGGAATATTTCAAACAATATACAGAGCATTGGTACGAAAACAGCATCAACGGGAATGGACCGTTCGAGAAACATGCCCGCATTATGCTGACAACCAAACAGTGTGCCTCTGAAAAAAACACTGATTTCAACATCAACGTCGAGTTCACCAAGCATCGCTGAAAGCAAGCGCCGGCATCATCGGTGGTTCCACTGTCTTCCTCAAGGGTGCTGGCAGGGTGACCTCCCGTGTTATACCCAAGGAGCGTATCGGGCGTGCAGCTAGTAGGGTGAGCACCCCCCAGCCCCTACCCTGTGTTATACCCAGGGAGCGCATCAGGCGCGCGTAGATGCATGTGGCTGCCGAGCCTATCACTGTTACGAGGAACCACGCTGTGTGCGCACTCGGCTGGGCAGAGATGCACTGTATGAGAACCAGTTCGGGACCATCTTCAGGCCAGGTCGTACTTAGGACATCACATGCGCTGGTCCCTATGACGGCACTGCATGGTTTACGAAGCACAGACAAGTACACTACACCTCTCGAAAACTGAATATCAAAGGGCCTGCTCACCTATATATCCAGATACGAACGATAGCAAATCTATGACCAAAAATACTGCACAAATACTTTACTGTCAATAACAGGTGGATTCCATTGATGTTTATATCGATCAAGTTCCAGGACTGCAGACAAATCGAGAGCTTATGGTTGTAACTATGCGTTACCTTGAAAACCGAGGAGACTCATCCGGCGAAGCCTGCGCGCAAAAAGCAATATCATGAAATTGTCTGCCTCCAAGTAACTAACTTGCGGCAGAAATATGGGGAGCCACCAACGGCTAACTTTTGACAATGCAGACAGACATCTTCAACGCCGATGCACGGAAGACGACTTCATACAACACAGCACCGGCAAATCATCGACGCGTCACTAGTCTGCATCACCTTCCAGGTCAGTCACCAACTCATTGGCGTAATTAGCCTGGCACGTGCCATTCGTGGATCTCTGATCCTCCGCACACCCTCTGAGCTCCGTCAAAGGTCCTGACACCGGGCTCAGGGTGACACCCTGAGGTCACCGACGTCTGCTGGCCGTAAAATATAATCGTGCCCAACACGCGCCATCGTGCACGGCCCTGCAGTGTGACGTCACTCAGCTGGGCCAGCCGGCCGCGCAGTAGTGGCTCCAGCGGCGTCGCTCTGGAGGCCGACAGGTCATGCCGGCCGCTGATCCCGCCCTAGTCTCCTGACATCCGACACCGCGGTGGCTCACGCTATGACACAAGGTCACGGCGGGGCGGGTGGCAGTCCAGCTCGCCGTATCCCGTGTCACCCCCAACGTTGCATTGCTGGTGACGCCGCTGCCGCTGCCGGCGGATGGGCCACCAATTCGTATAAAGGCGGGGCGCGGCGGCCGTCTGCCAAGCATTCTTCACACCGGCACACCGCGCGTCTGCACTGACCGTTCCAGCCGAACACAGTCGAGCACAATGCTGAAGCTGATCGCCACCATCGCCCTGGTGAGTGGACAACCCACGGCGGGGCAGTGAGACCGTGTAACGTCAGAGCCAAATCACGGAGCGCCGCCGTCATAACGGCACCTGATGTTCGCTTACGCAGGCCGTTAAGTGTTGCCAGACGTGTCTCGCTGGCGACCTTCCTGTCCACGTGAGGTTGTGTACTGATGACGGTGATGACAGCCAGACCGTCACCATCCTCACGCGCTTTCTCCACCCGCAGACGGGCGCGCTGGGCGCCGCCATGCCCATGGGCCTCGACGGCGACGAGGTGCAGCAGGCGTTCCAGGGCATGCTGGATCAGTCGGACGCCGACGGCGACGGTCGCCTCTCGTCGGCCGAGCTCGAGCCCATCATACGGGCCGGCGCGCCGCACCTCAGCGTCGCCGACGTGCGGCACACCATCTCGCTCATGGACGGCGACGGCGACGGCTTCGTCAACCTGGCCGACTTCCGGCAGGCCGCCAACGAGCCGCCGCCGGCCGAGGTCGTGCCCATCGCCTTCCGTGCCGAAGACACAGACGGCAACGGTCAGCTGACGCAGCAGCAGGCCCTGGAGGTGGCGCCGTCGCTGCTCAGTGGACACCGGCAGCTCGAGCACGTACGCTACGTGCTGGAGGACGCCGACACCGACGGCGACGGCATGCTGGAGCAGGACGAGTTCACGTTCGCCGTCGTCGCACTCCAGAAAGAAGCGTGAAGACGCTGTAAGGCCGGCTGGACGGAAGCGTCTGTGAGGCCGGTCACCCTGTGCCGATGGGACCGCCCGCTAATGACGTGGGGTGCGTGATGTTAGCGCCATAGGCCTCGACGTCGCCATTGTAAACCGATGTGTCATGCTCATGCTTCATCCGTGCCAAAATCATATTTTGACAATAAAATCATGTGAACCGCTCTATTGTCTGACCAACTTCTGTGTCGCCTCCATCATCGAAAGATTCACGACCAGCAAGCAATTAACCTCGGGCTTTCTGCGAGACAGACAACAACAACCACGCTAGCTGTCGTACACCGCTTGAGGCACACCCGACCTGAAGAATTCAGTACCGTCACTGATCTGTGGCGTTGTAGAGGCGTGAGACGCAGCACATCCCGCCCAACGCCGTGGTGGAGCCCGCCCAGGTACGGCGGGCCCTCCCACCCGCTGACGATGGAGCCTGTGCGAGCAGGCGGGAACATCGGCTACAGTCGCAGCCCGCCGCAGGGAACACGAGACCGCACCGGGCAACACACGGACCACCGGTCAAGGACGGAAAC